GCACGTTTGACGGCCGAGTCCCAGAAGACTCAAAGGTCGAAAAGATTCGTAAATGGCCAGAGCCGAAGACCCAGTCACAAGTGTGCAGGTTCTTGGGCACATGTGGTGTCCTCCAAATATTCATCCGTGATTTTGCACGCATCGCGTGGCCGCTCACTAACCTCACCAGGACAGATGTACCATTCGAATTTGAAGACGAACATCACGAAGCCATGGACCTACTCAAAGCCGCTGTTGTTAATTCGCCGGCATTGCGCCCGATTGACTATGATAGTGGCCGAGAAGTGATTCTATCGGTTGACACGTCCGCCGTCGTGGTCGGCTATATTTTGCTCCAAGTCAGTGAGGATGGCAAGCGCTATCCAAACTGTTTCAGTTCCATCACGCTCAGCGAGGTCGAAAGCCGTTACTCGCAAGCGAAGCTAGAGTTATACGGACTTTTCCGCACATTGCGCGCTGTGCGCATCTTTATCTTCGGTGTCACCAACCTTATGGTTGAGGTCAATGCAAAGTACATCAAAGATATGATCAATAATCCGGATTTGCAGCCCAATGCGACCATAAATAGGTGGATCACGGGTATTCTTTTGTTCCCTATTAATCTTGTTCACGTACCCGCTGCAAAGCACAAAGGCGCCGACGGTCTCTCAAGGAGACCAGCCACCGAGGATGATGTACTAGAAGATGATGATCATGAGGATTGGCTAGACTGAGCCTATTCTTTCGGTTTGACTCTGCTTAATGACCGTGCATTCACAATAGAATCCGCCGGGGCACATATCACACGAGCAGCGCGCCTAGTGCCGATCGTGACGCTGCCGAATCACTTACCTATCCTCCATGTCTTCTTAGATGTTGTCACTCCATCATCCAATGAACAGATCATTCCACATTCGGAAGCCGCTGTCGCGTTAGACGCAAAGCTCCTGACTCTCAAGCAGTTCCTTATAATGCGCAAGCGCCTGACAGGATTATCGGATGAAGATTACACTACGATGGTCAACCAAGCAGTGCAGTTCTTTGTACTCGACAGCAATCTATGGTGCTGCGAGCGTCATGGTAAACACCAACTCGTCTTGATACCGCCGAAGCGCTATAATATTCTCAAACAAGCGCACAACGACCTAGGTCACAAGGGAGTATACGTGATCCGTGTTCGGCTAATCTTACGATATTGGTGGCCCTTTATGATGGACGATATCAAATGGTACATGCGCACATGTCACGAATGCCAGATAAGGCAGACACGCAAACTTCATGTCCCGCCGATGGTACCGACACCCGGCGGCTTGTTCCGCAGAGTGCATATTGACACCATGAAAATGCCCCAGGGGGCGGTTTCGAGTATCTCATTCAAGTGCGTTGCGCACTAACATCGTACCCAGAATGGCGCATGCTACGCAAGGAAAATACTAGGTCGCTAGTGGCCTTTATATATGAGGAGATCCTCTGTTGATGGGGTCTGGTGACTGAATTGATTACTGACAATGCTCCCGCTTACAGGCTAGCCGCCGATATGTTAGCCGAAAAATATGATGTCCACCCGATACATATTTCACCTTATAACTCGCAAGCGAACGGCATAGTTGAGCGGCGCCATCATGATGTCTGCAAAGCTATCATGAAGACATGCAATGGCGATGACCTACAATGGCATCAAGTCGTTCATTCCGTTTTCTGGGCCGAGCACATTACCATTCACAAGTCTACAGGTTTATCACCCTACTTTATGGTGCATGGCGTAGAGCTGATATTTCCTTTTGATCTTCCTGAAGCCACGTTTCTAGCGCCGACGCCTGCACGCGGCGTATTTACCACTGCTGACCTTATTGCATGGCACGCTCGCCAGTTACAGAAGCGCATTGAGGATCTTAGCGAGATCTGAGACAAGGTAGTAAAAGTGCGTTTCGTGTCGCTTCGCGACTTTGAAAAGCACTTCCACAATACCATCCACAACTATGACCACACGCCTGGCACTTTAGTGTTGGTGCGCAATTCAAAGGTCGAATATGAGTTGAGCAAGAAGACGAAGCCGCGGTACTTGGGACCTATGATCGTAGTGTGCCGCACGAAGGGAGGCTCATATATCCTGGCCGAGTTGGACGGTGCTATATCACTCTTATGTTATGCGGTGTTTCATGTCATCCCGTATCATCCGCGCAGCGGGGAACGCGTTATGGTAACAAGCGTCACTGGAAAAGATGACGAAGCACTAGATTGGCTAGCAGACGAGGATATCGAAGAACCAGAAGAAGACGAACCAGAACGCGCGCAAGATGATTAGCGCATACACCCCTCCCCGCATACTACCCGACACTCTACCCGTAAATCACCGCTCCTGCATCGATAAAACCAAAAATACCAAAAACATCAAATAACACGAATACCACAAAAATATACCTGCTATAGCACATACTCTCTGTTTTACCCCGGATTTCAGCCAGCGATCATTTTCTCTCATTCTCTCATATAACCTGCACATAAGCGCATTGACCACTGTAGGGATTCATTTCTGGCTAGGCTTGTAGAGACTGTCTTTACCTTACCTTAGGTTGGCACTTTGTAGCTTACATAATCAAGTTACCTTTTCACCAGTTACCAGTATGAGTCTGAGTATTCAGCAAGTTTCTATCATATTTCCTCTCCTCTGAGCCTTGAGCCTGGTCCAGAAACCCTTTAGGGTCGAATAGCAGCTAGGTTCTGCAAGACCCAACATTGTTCAGACTCACCATCTGAATTGTTGTACCTTCACCGCACATATTCAACAGACTCTATCGCTATCACACCACAAAATAATAATAAAGAATCAAGTATATATATAACGCATATCATTCCATTAGACACATGGGCATAACTAACCCCCTAGACCTTTCCATTTCTAACGTGCGCTGCTGCGCCGCGCACATTTTTTATAAACTTATGGATTCTATCACTAATCGGCCACATTGTCAGCAGCAAAAGTAGGAGTAGACGTGATAGCCGCACGAGGAAGACAAGTCGGGCGCACAACCCGCAAATATTTGTATTCATTTTCTTACCGCCTCTCACTACCGCGCTTAATTACTTACTTACCGATCTCAATTTTATCTCTAGCCCAATGGACTCAGCAGATAAAGGCATGGAATATGGACATGGACACGCACATGGACGGCTCTTGGGAATCGCTGAAGGTTCAACGATACAGCGAGGCACAAACAATGCTCCTGACTGTATCTATAAATGTTGTAAGGTCGCGCGTTGCCTAGTCTGCTATACTTGAGACGACAAGTGTGTTCGACCCTAAAGGGGAAGTGAGTGCAGCAAGGATCTAGTAGTAAGCGCCGAAGGCGCTACTGGTTGGTGAATGCGAAGCGCGGGAAAGCGCAGGTGCGCGTGAGGCGCGAGAGTGCGCGAAGCGCGGGAATGCGTGCGCGTGTATGCGGAAACAAGTGAGAGTAAGAGTGAGTTTGCTTAAGTGATGATTAGACACCAGACAAGAGGTGAGAGATGCAAGCTGAGAGATGTTATATGCGAGGTGCCAAGGAATAGATTTCAACTATGCTCTGCTGGGTAGTAAATGGGTATTGTTGTGGTTCAGTCCTCTGTCGTTCTCGTGAGTGAGTAAGTGAGTAAGTGAGTAATAGTATGTACTGCTGGCGCTTAAGTATGGCACCTAAGCGCTGTCATGCAGAGCCGAAGCGCTACCGAGTAAGGTATGTAAAGATATATGTAAGTAAGGGTCCATGATAAAAATAAAGATGGAACAATATGCAAATGTGAGAAATGGAAATATACGCACTAGGGAACTTGGTGGACAGTGGATGGATGCTTCTGGATGGCTGGTGCTATAGGGCGCTCAAGCGCGTGGAAAGCGCGCGCCGCGAAAGCGCGCGCGCATATACATCGTGAAGCGCGGGAAAGGTACGCGCGCAAGTTGCGCGATGCGCGGGAAAGCTGCGCCCCATGTAGGAATAGCTGTAGGAAGCATACAGAGTGATGCTACAAGTTCGTGCTGTATACTCCTTGGTGAAAACTGCAATATTGCACAAGGAGAGGCGTGAGTCTCTACATCGCGTCACAAGTCCTGGGGACTCTATTCTATTTGGTGCTGTAGCACTCGAGCTCGCGCTAGGCTCGTATTCAGCTATTTTCCCATACATGTCACGAATTACTTCCAATGTTATCCAACACTCATCCACTCAATCCGATGTTTATCCACTAAACCCAACGCTAACCCAACAAACCTGATGTTTCCCGCACATCGGACCCGACGGACCCGATATTTTCCCGTGCACTTGTCCTCCCTATGTCCTGTCCTGTCGTATCTATCCCCACTAGGTGCGCAGTTATTCATTTTCACGTCGCTAACATTGTAGAACACGTTATTACATGTCCGCAGTACATTGTGTCTTATTACATAGGACATCGGACCCGAAAATCAGCGCTACTACTTTCGCCTATAGCACTCCGAAATTCTACATAGATACTATATATTTTGCATACCTCCTACCTATCACTTTACCTTTCTACCTCTGAGTAGGAGGAGGTCATCCGATATTCGTAGTTCTTAGTTGGATTCCGCAATATCATCCTTTCTTTACCCGAAACATCTGACAGTAACCCGCCATTCACTATCCCCGACATTCACTACATTCCCGACGCAAACCCAATGCTAACCCAATGCAAACCTGACGAACCCGCTAACCCGAAACCCGAAAACATCGGACCCGACGTTTTTGACATCGGACTCATAATTATACCTTCGGACTTTGTTTCCCGCACTTCGGACTATCTTCCTTTTGTCATAACTGATTATTCTAATACCATACAGCAAACCCCTTGGGTTGAACGCACTTGTCTTGCAAGTATAAGCAGACTAGGCTGTGCACGACCACAACATTTTTATATTGCTGGCTACTTACTTTGTGTAGTGCCCAGCAATTGTTGTATCTCTACAGCGCTTCAAGCGCAGGTTTCTACACTATGTCTACAGGGAATAGGAACAGCTATTTTAAGTATAACTAATGGAATAACTTGGCAATCTCAAGTTCTAAGGAGCGCCAGCCGCACACTGACGAAAAAGCCTTGTTCGACGCAAGAAGCTGTTCAGCTTCCTGCACACGCACATACTGGTGTGCATGGATCAACGTCTCACCATACCGTTTGGTGCGAGCGCGCAACTCCACATTCTCTTCCTGGAGTGATGCTACCTCAATGCAGAGTGCCTCCAACTCATCGCGCTCCGAGGCGTCCAACTTGCGCTTAGGCATGGGCACGGACTGCTTGGGAAGCGGTAGGACAGGACGCGGCAGGACCGTCTTGGAGCCGCATACAAGTCTTCATCGTCATCAGCCTCTTTCTCCACAATCTCCACCTCCATATCCACCTCTGACTCGCTCTCCGAGGACTCCGCACCTTCGACGGTCGTGGCCGGAACTGTTGGGCGAGCCAAACTCATCGACCCAGTACGCGCCTTCTTGGCGGGCGCGGCGCCTCGAGGGGGGGTGGTGCGTGTCCTCGCCTGTGGCTTCGCCTTCGGCTCAGCTTTCCCTAAAGAAAAGGATCGGACGGATCGTTAGTAGAGGCAACGGATAAGTTATAAAGTAGCAACCCACTAGAGAAAGAACACGCCTGCTTTACACCGGCACAGTAGGAACACCTCACACCAGGCGAGCCGTCACACATGCCAGTGCGATTCTGACAGCGCGCACACTTCTCCTTTGTGACAGACATGCGGCCACTGGGTCACTACAGATATCATCAGCCATAGTCCAAACACACACAACAGAAGTACTCACCGGTATGCCCATATTGGCGACCTCTTTGGCCAGCATGGCAGCAGGCAAAGCCTCTTTCTCCACAGTCGTAGTGACGCCTGCATCGTTAGTGGGTGCGGCGGACTTCTCGCGTGGCGGCTCAGTCGCCTTCACCGTCCAACCCCTCATGAGTCTCTCCAACACCCAATACTCCTTCTTACCATCCTCAAGGGCCTGCGCACCCTGAGCATCCAGCGTCAGTTCGACTTGCACATCTTGTGCACGGCCAAAACACTTGTTCATTTGTTCCTAACTGACGACATCAGTAAAAAGTAAGCACACGCAGACAAAAACGAGCCACTCACCAAAACAGTTCTCCAATCGCGCATCCAAGTCTCCTGGTCCTCCATCAGTTCTTCCTTGGCTGCGGGAGCCGTCAATGCGCAGGAACGCAGCGTCTCGCAGATCAGGCTCCAGGCGTGGTTGATGCGGTCCTCGTTCGACTCCTCCGGAATGGAGTCATCGATTACGGGCTGGTCGCGTGTAGGTGACGGCGGCGTCTCAGGTTCGGGGGAAGCAGTAAGCATAGAAGGGTCGAAGCGAGACATGTTAAAAGATGAGGAAAAGATTTGGAGGTTATCGATGAAGATGAAGAAGAAGAAGCGGGACACGTGACGCGTTTTAATACATCAGATCGGCCACAGTTCCCATGATCCATGCTCCACAAACTCACAGTCCACAATTGCTCATCACATATGGCGTGAAATGTGCATGGTCACGTGACTTATCTCATCGAAATTTCGCTAAGTCCCTATGCTCTATAGAAGCTGACTGGGGACAGTCAGAATTCAAAGTTTGTATGTGATGTAGGACTTGGAGTCCTTGTAGCCTCGTAGAGGCCATTTTTGCAGCATCCCTTAGGTCCTCACATACCGTGCATTATAGCTAATGCGGCGCGCACCATTTCCGTTATCGGCCGACGGCCGCAACTCACGTGCGCACTTCGGCTCGCATCCACTTCCCTTCGGCTCCATCGTGCGTCCTTCCCATGTCCTATCCATGTCCTCCGCCGGTCCATTGGTGTGTACTTATCTCAATCTGCATTAGACTGACTTTATTTCCGATGCTATCTCATTTATATTTTCATTACTTGCGTTATGGACCCTGTTTCCATACTACCACTACCTACTCGGCTCCGAACAGCACTTCGTGCACTCTCATATATACTTAGTACTTACAAATCTTCATGTATCTATCTTTTCCCACGTCAAAATTATCACCAACTTGCATGCAACACTTGGACTGAAAATCTGAAACCTTCGGCATACTACTGCACATGTGCCTCCTACGGCCGCATTAACACTTGCATTTTACTTATTGTGTCTATCGACAAACATTCTCCTCGCTCCGCCGCTGTGCCGCATCACTTACGCGCTCACAAAACCTTCGCATTTATCGTTTAGCTCAGCCACGCACTTCCGTGCCCCACCAAACTCTCGGCTATATGGCCACACATCGTAACACGCTTTTCAGCGGCTTGCTCGTGCTCACATTGCATCGGCGCAAATTCTCGCACTCTTTCATCCTCAGTTACCCTTACTAGTTTCCAAGTTTCCCCTCACATTTTATTCAGAGGAATCATTCTCAGTAGCAATCCCCTCGGGCCGAATCTATACTTGCGTCCAGAGGTCTATGTGAGTTTTACCCCACTTCACCCTTTCTCACCCTTTCACCCCTTCTCATCTAGCTATCATTCCTCACACACATCATATTCGGTAGATAATCTTCATGCTATCCCCAGATCAAGAATTCTCCGGGGATGGTATTGGAGCCATTTCTTCAATCCCTTACCACACTGTCTTCCGTGCCGTGAAAAGATTCTTCATCGTCAAGTGGACCCATGAACGCATCAAAGCCATCATGGGACAAATCAACACTTATGTCTTCAACAATGTTGCTCAGGCAGAGGAGGACTATACCTCAGGCCAGCCTGAAGACATGGTTGATTGTGTCATGGCAGCATTGGACAATTCAGATAGCAGTTCGGATGAAGACCCCATTGGCCCTGACAGCCTTCATGTGCACTATCCTACCATTGTTGAACCAAGTTCTTTGACTGCATCCTCAGGCTCAAATACTGTTGCGGTAGCTTCTCCCCTGCAACATGAACCCCCCCTGCCTTCTGATGTCATGCTATCAATCTCAACTCAGGGTGCGGTACTCAATCCTGGATCAAGTGCTACAAGTTCAGAGTCTGCCTTAGCTGCTACAGTGACAGCAGCACCCCATCTGAAGCCAGCTATTGAAAGCTCAGTGGCTGTCACTATGAAGTCCAACAAGGGACGTCGGGGAAAAGATCAGAAGGCTGATTTAAATGGGCAAGATGTTCGTCGTTCCTCTTGTCATACCGTCTCTACTAAATAGTGATATCTTTATGTTGTGGTCTTGCACTGCCTATCTGCTATACTTGCGGACAAGTGCGTTCGACCCAGGGGTCTGCGGTCTGGGAATAGTTTTGGGGGTCAGTGGGTGATGTGAGGTCAATAATCTGAGCACGGGAAACAATGTCTGAAGGTATAATTATGATGTCCGATGCAAAAGTGTCGGGTCCGATGTTTTTCAGGTTTCGGGTTATCGGGTTTGGGTTATCGGAAACTAATAGTAATGCTGTAGAGACTTGCGCCTCTCAATGCGGAATATACGGCCCTATTACCCACATAATTCCCTACACGTTCCAGCTCTTATCCGAAGGATCAGTCATACGCGCTCTCACGCGCACGCCCTACGTACGCGCCTCGTTCGCGCGCCTTACACGCACTCGCGCCTTTCGCGCGCGCTCGTGCGCCTCCCCTTAGGCCTTCATACCCTTGTCCGTCCGTCCGTCCTATGTCCTCGCTGATTTACTGGTGCGTTATTCTTATCCCTTTCACTGAATTGACGTACCTTCGGTCCGATCTCCGTGCTTACATACAGAAAGTCTATCATAGGCTTTAGAATATATTTAGAGTTGATATGGTTACTCGGTTCGGTACCACGCTCGGAAGCGCGCTGCATAGCGTAATCTCCCTTCTTAAATAGAGGGAAAGTTCCTTTTAACTTACTTCCTTCCCTTCTCCCTTATCTGAGTATACTGCAAATTGTATAAGTGCACCTTAGTACTTGAAATCTGATTATACTTCACTATTCTACCATCACTCGCGCATCTGCTATACTTGAACACTCTCCCCCATCGCTCAAAAGCACGCTTCCGCATACGCGCGCGCCCCTCGCATCTTTCACTCGCGCGCGCCCTTCGCGCGCCTTCGCATCGCTTACTCGCGCCTACGCACGCGTTATCTTCTCGTGCCTTCGCGCGCCTGTTACCACCCGTCTAGTTGGCGAAGACTCCCTCCATTACATTAAAGAGGAACTTCTCTCAGTAGCTGTCCTTTGGGTCGAGTCGTATTCTCATATCCTGGTCTTACTATAGAACCCCCGTTAGCTTTAGTGTTTCACCTATAGTCAAGATTCCTCACCTTCAACGCTATAGCGAGCGATGTGTGCAATAATAACAATGATGGATACAGACGGTGAAGGAACGATGATATTCGCAATGTCAACTAAGAACTACAAAATATCGGGTTTGACCCCTAAGCGTCGGAGATGATTCTCCTCTACTCGGATGATGATGATGCTATGGGTAGTCCAATATTTAAGTAGATACATAGAAATCCGGAACCCTATAGGCGAAAGTAGTAGCGCAATATTTCAGGTCCGATGTCCTATGTAATAAGACATGATGTACTGCGGACTATGGGAATATATGTAATAACGTGGTCGACAATGTTAGCAATGTGAAAACAAATAACTATGCACCTAGTGGGGCTAGCGCAATGAGACTGGACATAGGTAGGACAAGTGCGCGTGATGTCCGATTGGCCGATGCGAAACCCGATGCCCGATGTCTGATGTCCGATGTTTTCGGGTTTGGTACGTATTGAGTTGGATATGATAGGCAATGATTTGGGCAATGATTAGCATTCACATGCATCGGAAAATAGACCTCTACGAGGCCACAAGGACTCCAAGTCCTACACCGACTCCCATGTACCAGTCAGCGCTCGAGTTCAATTGATATAGGTCGCAAGCAATCATTATTCCATTTGGTCGTTATCATGCAGATCTTAACACTTTTTTTCTGACTGTGGCTCTCAAGACGTTACTCTTGAGGTGTCTGACAGAAGCAGCACTGAATGATGGACAGCGAGGACGAAGCAGCCACTTCAAAGTCTGGATGATCAATTGGCAGTTTAGATGCCTCAAGAACTTCGGGGGCAGGATGATATTGGGGGTTATGGAAGGTTGCTTTTTGGCCGCGGCTAATGAAGCGGTCAGCAGGCAGATAATGTTGAGAACTAAAATGACACACAGGACATAGGTTATTGTTGGCTTCTCCTCAAACACTGGTGCTGGAGTTGGTGTGCTTTCATGCTCAAGTGCTTCTCTGATGGGTAATTCGTCATCGCTTAGCGTCTTTTCGTGTCCGCTTTCATGCTCGCATCAAAATCCTGGAGTATTGTGGCGCAGGGCATATTCTAATTGCGCGAAATTAACCAGATGGAGCGCGAGATGTGTCAGTATCTGGAGTGGGAACGCCGAGGGAGTTTGAGGACATGGTCAAGAAGGATTTCGTATTAGGTCAAGGTCCTTACCCGACTTACACTCTCCCTTCCCCCTCAAAGACAACCCCTCCTCCTACCACAAATCCCTTTCCGTCTCCTCCAGCTGCTTTGGCGCCCATGCCTTCATATGGCCATTGTTATCCTTCGCCACCAAAGCCTGCTTTTCCTCCATACTCTGCCAGACCTGCCATCAGCCACACCTTCATACTTCCTACCTCCTTCAGTCACTTTCAGCAGATTGCACTGCTCATTATCGGGTACATCATGGCCATCATTAGAATTTTCAATCCTAGCCACTTACACACTCGTTTTCCGAGTCACCTATCTCAATCTCTTATTTTACTATCTTGCTCTCACACTTACTTGCAGCCATCAGCGATCCATCGGATGAGATCAAAGTGATTGGGCACAGTTGTTAGCGTCTCCAATAACATCCTTAACGCTTGTAC